TGTCTTTCATGTTGCGCTACCGGATGTTCATCATTGTCGTGGAATGTTCCATGAAATGAAGCAATGCTCTTACCAGGCCCAACAGTCGGTTTCTGTGCCCTGTCGTCATTGATTCTCGCTAAGTGCGAAATTCGAGGCAGCGAAAAATCGTTGAGCAATGCATTCCAGGCCTGAGGATTCGAACGAAACGTAGTAGAAAGAATTCACTTCACTATGATTAGGTGCTGTCCACTGAGTGCAAAAAACAAGAGTTGCAAACAATAAGAACATATTACTTTGCAGTAGCCCCTTACCCAGGCTAGCCGATGCGACATGAAATTCATGGAAATTATTAATTAGGTGTTCTCCGTAAATAAAAGGTTGATAAATATATCGTATTCGAAATCTGTTTATGATCCGCGAACACTCGAAAAAATCAGTCTTCTAAGCCTTGTTTTAAACCCGTCTGGTAATTTGTCAGCATTATTAATATAGCGATTAACAGCCATTTGTTTCACATTTTCTATACTTGTCCCTTACCGTTTCAGTAATTGAACTCTTGTCATTTTTCTTGTTACTCAATATCTGCTCATTATTCCCTTGCGTTTAATGAAGCTGAAAAAGCATAATTCTTTTCTAACCCAGTTTGGTCAGTATGCATTTCTATCCCACTGACATACATGAGTGCACGCCCCCCCCCCACACACACACAAAACAATTCTTCACATTCATTATGGTACTAACCTCAATCTATTGCTCATACGTGCATAGATTTCCACCTGTAATATCATGAACTCTAACTGACTGATCTGCAATCTATGTGCAATGCAACTAGAACGGTTTTACACTATATTAATATATCAGGCAGTCCCTCAAAATTTGGCATCCTATTTTCGTTTCTCGGGCAGATGTGCGGTTGAATGAACAGCGCCAGTATTCGTGGAAAGGACGAGTGACGGAAACCAAATGTATATTCAGAACGTTCACCTGTTTTGTCGATAACCGATCAGTTCGTGAACGCAAACCATAGGTGTGCTAAAGGGTAGTGTAACAGAAGCCCATAGGCATTTGCATCACTCATATTTTGAAACGTCTAAACATCGATAAGAGTACCTCGTTTAATGCGATAAATTAAATCAAAGCAATTCATCCGTTGAAGCTCCATCGCATGGCATAACGCCTTTCAACGCTGTGATGAAA